CCTTGTGGATGTTTTAGTATCGGTATTGTTTATGCACGTAGTATTTATACCTTTGCTAAACCTCATATATTGTGTTAGATTAACTCTAATGGGCTGTTGGTTTACCCTATACGGGAATATCATTTTTAGGTGCAGGTGAGGTGTACCTCCAAGGCAATAGCATGGATGGATTCTCGGAAAGCAAGAGCTTCTTATTTATGCTCTATGCGTGTATGTTTATTATTTATAAAGCCAAAGGTTTAAGATGTAATAAGCGAGACTGAATTTGTGTAACCAAGCAATGACTTGGAAAGATGTAAGCCTATATGGCATTTAACTGGTTGTTAAACAGTGAACTCTGATATATGAAAGTATGTTGTTTCTCATATTTATTCAGCATATGAGTTATTTACATTGTATTATTTTGGGGGCGTTACATTGCTTTACTTTCTCTTTTTTTTCACCTTTCCTTTAATTTTTTTTTAATGTAATTTCCTCTGTTTTTCTACTAGGAGTTGTTACCTTTTATATAAGTAGGGGGTTTATAAAATGAGACTATTAACCACAGAGATGGGAATGTAATTTTCAAAACGTAAGGGGGTGAGTAGTAATTGGACCAAACCTCAAGGGGTGCCAGTGTAATTTACCCTTATATTATATACATGGAAAATGGGATTTTTAATCCATAATCTTTGTAGAAACTCCAAGTTTTCAATCTAAATTTTATAATTTTTTGATTTTTAAAAATTAAAAAAATCTTTTATTGGCTAACTCTTATTCAAGAATAAATAAATAAATAAATAAATATTAATATCCATTGATTTATGACTTTCAAATGGAAAATATATCAAAACAAAAAAAAAAAAAAATGAAAAGTATACTAATCCATTTCAAAATTTAAATTTGAATGTTATTAAATATGGAAAGCAATCTATTAATTTAAATTTAAAATTAAAATTGGTACAATATAAATTTAAAATTATAATGACCTCTCCCATGATTTGTAAGTTTTAAATACAAATTTAAAAAGTATACTAATCCATTTCAAATTCAAATTTGAAGGTCACTAAATATGGAATACAATCTATTAATTTAAATTTAAAATTAGCACAATATAAATTTAAAATTATAATGATCTATCCCATGATATATAAGTTTTAAATACAAATTTAAAATTATCATAATTAGCTCATAATTTTTAAATTTAGAAGTAATAAGAGTGACGTTAAGATTGTTTATATATTTTACAAAAAAATTCTTTTAACAAGAGATATTTGAGAGTTTCAAAACCTCATACAAAATCTATATACTATTATAATTGAAAAACGTTGTCATCCTATTAAAGCTTAAAATTGCAATTCTTTTTTTTTTTTTTAATTTTGTTAATATGTGTCACAATATGATTGGCTTATAAATTAATTTTATGTTCTTAATTTTAAATTTAGAATTTTGTTAAATTATGTTACTAGAAAAGATCAATATTCATTTCTTAATTTATGCATCTTTTATTAAATTTTAAAATAAAATTTTAAATTTAAATTATTTTTAAATTATGTTACTACAATTAGAATGAAATCAATATTCACATGTGTCATAATGATGTGCCATAAATTATTGGTCTAAACATAATATGTTATTAAATAAACGTATTCAAATTATTAATCACCATTAAAAGTTTATGTTTTTATTTTTTATTATTTTTTAAATTTTATAAAAAAAAAATTTATGTCCTTCTAAACTACAAGGACTTAAACAATAAATTTTTTTAATACAAATATTTTTTTTAACAAAATACAAAAATATTAAGAAAATGAATGACTTTTTTAACAATTATCAAACATAATGGATTCGATTATTTTTTTTTTATATCTCAACTATCAATTAAACAAATTAAAATAAAAAAATAATTTTTTTGGCTTAAATAGTTAAGAAGTGATTTTTGCTAAAATCAAATAGAAATAAACATTTTTTTTTTCTATTAAAAGTGATAGTTGGTGAAGCTTATTTTTTTATACAATTAAAAAAAATGGGAGTTACATGTGATAATTTATTATTCCAACAATATTATAGACTCGCACTTTCACCCACAATGATAAGACAAGGGAATTGGACCCTATATCATTGAATGTATAGCAAATCAAGAGTTGACATATATGATACCACACCATTGTGGAAAAAAATTGTGAATTTTTTTTTTGTGGGTCTCAAATTTTTTTTCTTATTGTTTATTTAGACTTTTTTAGCACTTTCAAAATATGGTGGATCCTGTTAATTTTTTTTTTTAAATCCTAGTTGTCAATTAAACAAACTAGAATAAAAAATAAAAAAGTTTTGCTCAAATTGCTAAAAAATGAGTTTTGCTAAAACAAATAGAAATAAATGTTATTTTTCTAATAAAAATGATGGTTTGTGAAATATCTTTTTTTATTTAAAAAAAAATGAAGTTATAGATGATAATTTATTGGTCATCTATAATTATTTCAGATCAAACAAGAATAACATTCTAAATTTTCTTCTTACCCTCTTTTTTTTTTCGACAAATACTTTTATTTTGTAGCAATTTAATTTTATTATATTTAAATATTTTATTTTAATTTCTAAATTAAAAATAATTTTTGAAAAATCATATTTGAATTATTTTATGTCATTATGAAATATAATTTTTTTAATATTAACTTATTCGATGATCCTTTTCTAGAAGGTGTATTTTGTTTTTGTTCATAAATATTAAATTTTTAACTAATCTTATTTATAATTAAAAAAATAAATTAGCAAATAATTATATATATATATATACATATTTATGTATACAATTTTGTTTCGATTACTCAGGTTATTTGGTGTCTCTCTGTCCAAGTCCACTCAAATTTATTTGAATTTTTGAATTTTACATAGGTTCTCACCGAATTAAAAATTATGTTGCGCAATTTTTAAAAATTTACAAGCTTAACTTGAGTTGCTTGGGCTCAACTCGCCCAAATTTACAACTTTAACAAAGGGGTTGAAAGTTACATTATTGAAGTTTTGACAAATTAAAAATTGATACATAAATTGTGATAAAATTGTAAAACTTAAATTGTAAGTTTCAATACTTTTTTTATTTTCATAATTTACATACATTATTCATATAAACATATTTCATTAATTTTTCACGGGTTTTCACTGGGATTATTTGGAATGATCTAAATAAGTATACTTTTTTAACTTTTTATGAAAAAATATCTAAAAAAATAAAGAGGTGATATGACTTAAAAAAAAATTAAAAAAATTAAAAAATGTGCTGTAATAGGTCATGCCAAACAAGCTCATTGAAGGTAGTATTTGATAACAGACCTTAGTGTAATGTCAAAAAGAATATAGGGAATGCCAACATAATTCTAAAGTAATGCAAAAGAAGGCAACATAATTTACTTAAGTTTCATATGCTGTAAAACAAGTGCTACTATTAATCCTCGCATTTTTTCTTTACATCCCCACTACCTTCATTGTTTTGTAACACAACTTACCTTAACATAAAATTTTAATTTTATCCCTATTTATAACCTCCTTAACCCTGCCTTCAAAGAAAAGGGTAGATGGAAGTTCAATGGAAATGTAGGAAGAGAGAAATATTTGTAGAGGGAAGTTCAAAGAAGTGAGGCTTAAAAAAAATTCTTAAGATTGTCATCAATACTCCCGTAAAATATGTTAAAATAGTATTACTATATTGACTATGTTTATGTATGATTAACGAATTTTTAATAAAAATGAAATTAAAAATTATGTAAATGAAAATTAAAAAAAGGAGTAAAGTGGAGTTTATCCAATAATAAATGCAGTGTGATCTCCATATTATTTTTGAGACAATTACAATTTAATATAAAATTTTAAATTAGTAATAAATTTTAAAAATACTAATAATGAAGGTAATTTAATAATCAAGTAAAGCTCAGTTTATCCATAGCAGTTTTTTTTTTAATTATTTTAATTATTTAAAATTGCCTCTGTTTGGTTTAGTTTTTAAAAAGAGTTTTGAATTTTGAGTAGTATTTTAAAAGATAAGTGCTTGAAAAGAGTTTTGAAAAGTGAAAACTTATTTGGCTATGAGTTTTAAAAATAATTTTAAAATGATTTATATTATTATTATTTTAATTAAATAGATAAGTGTGAGAGAAAAATTGATTGATTGATATATAAAATATGAGAGAGTAGAGATGAGAGAGAAAAAAATAATTAATTGATATGTAAAAAAAAAAGAGAAAAAGAGGAAAAGAGAAAAGAGAGAAAAAATAATAAATTGAATATATTTTTTAATTTTTTAATCCAAAAGTTTATTTAAAAATTAAACTAAATACAACCTTTGTTTCTGTTTTTGTTGTTTGATTTTGTTTTGGAAGTTAGGGCCCGTTTGTTTTTAGAGGTAGGTTGGGTGAGATTGTTAATGAGGGGATTATTAGTGAGGGGGTTAACAAAAATTGTGTTTGTTTGATAACCAGTGGACTAGCAATAATTCATGTTTCTTTTGAGAGATAGGAGTGGGTTAACTATGTAAAATTCTACAAATATCCTTATTACTATCAAATTTGGGATTCTACCAACTAAGTTGGGCTCCACCCTCTGCTACACTGATCTAGGGATCCTGTTGTGCCTTTGGGCACAGTAGGTTGCTGTGCTCTCTTGTGTAGTATCGTTTCGAGCCTCTTTCAATAATCTGAATTAATCTTATTGTAGGGTTCGTCGAGTAGATTATTTACGCAAAAAATCAAATTAATTGGATATCTCCAGCCCGATAACCAAAGTACATTTGTTTTTATAAAAATTAACGGTTAGCATAACTTTCACTAATTTATAAAAACAATTAGGATTTAATGTTATGAATATTTGATTAACTTGATTTTTTATATGAATAATATTCTCAATGAATCCTATATGAACGGTTCAAATTATCGAAAAATATTCGAAACGACTTCCCACAAATGAGTGTAGCAAGTTGCTGTGCTAACTATAGTATGATGTACTAACCACAGTATGTATTTATGCATAGAAGCAACATACTTTTTCTATTTCTCTGTGGGTTATTTAATTCACAAATATGACAACTTTTCAGTCTTGCATATATGGTATAACAACGGTTGCTGCTGCAGGTTTCAGATGGTGACCACATTGACAGATTAATATCTTGCCTGCATATGGCTCTTCCATTTTTTACGGTACAAATTGTATTTGCAATCAATTTTACCAAATTTAGTGGATTATATGATTATCTGTCCACCTTAACTTTTTTTTTTTTTGGGTTTCCAGAGGGGTGCATCAAGTAATAGGTTTCTCAACTATTTGAACAAGAATATTGTACCTGTTTTTGATAAGGTAATTAGTACTTTCCACTAATTATTTTATTTGGAGATTAAAATAAATAGTAGAGTTTGTAATTGTCCTACATTTTGCGCATTTGAACTAGACCCGACGGTTTTACTAATACATTACTTGATAATTGACTTCAATGTGTTACCTCATTTGGTAATGAAATATCATACAGAAGAATGCATTATAAATCATAATGATAACTATGTATTATTACAACTTATGAGCAAATCTTCTCAGGCTTTTTGTAGCAAATGAAGTAACTTTAAAAAGGGAAAAATAGCACTTGTATTAGTAAGTTTGTTGTATTATTATCTGAATCTAAAGAAGATCCAATCCCAGCAAAATACTTTTTCTTCATGACTTAGAATAGTTGTATTGTGTCGAATGTTAATGATTCAATTAATTTGAAGGATGCTTTAAAATTATAGGTTTATTATGGATTGAATGAATTATTAGGAATTACAGGTGTATTGTTTTCCTACTTTGGCAACCAATTTATTAGTCGCGACAAATAAATTATTTTTTTTCGCAAAAAATGACAATTGCCGACCAAGAGGATTGGTCGCAAAAAATACATCTATTGCCGACCAAAACAGTTCTTGGTCGTGGAAACTCACTTTTGCCGACCAAAAGTTTTGGTCGCGAAAAGTAACAAATAGCGACCAAACTTTTTGGTCGCGGAATGTCACGATTGGCGACCAAAATTTTTGGTCGGGAATGTCACGATTGGCGACCAAAATTTTTGGTTGCGGAATGTCACAATTGGCGACCAAACTTTTTGGTCGTTGAATGTGATAATTGGCGACCAAACTTTTTGGTCGGGAAAATATCACTTTTCGCGACCAAAGTGTTTTGACGACAAAATAAATTAGTCGCGGTAATTAAATATTTAGCGACCAAAAATTCAGTCGCGAAATCCAACTTAACCACAATTTTGGTCGCGAATTACTTTTGCCGACCCTCAATTGGCGACCAAAGTAGCGACCAAAAAAATTGGTCGCGGATAACTTTTGCCGACCAAATATTGACTTTTAGCGACCAATTTTTTTATTGGCAAAAGTGTTAATTCTTGTAGTGCAAGACCCCAGGTCCTACTGGACACTGCAGTTTGTCCATGCAAAGCAGAGACGTGCCATATGTCAAAATCAGAGATGATTGTTTTTTCCATGCAAAACTCGCTGTTTGTTTTGCCAAACATTTTTATTTTATTATCTATCTATCTATATATATATATATATATATATATATGTATATATATCCCTATATATAAAGCATGAATGTAGAATGTAAAACGGAGCACTCATTTGAAAAGTTGGGTTGGGTGGATTGGGTTAGGGTTAAAATAATCACAAAAACATAAAATAGTTTTTTTTTTTTAAATTTCAGGTCAAAAAGTTACATTTGAATCATAATTATTTCATTTTTTTCTCTTATAAAAGTTAAAAAAGTCAAAAATTCTATCACAAACGAGATTTGTTTAGCCCCGAGTTAAAATAGTCAAAAAATAAAAAACTTAAAAAGTCAACCTACATCCCAAACGAAAGGCTAAATTACAAAACTGACCCTATTTTTTATTATTATTTTGTTTGCACAGTTAAATAAGATAGGAAAATTCCATCTCATTGGGGGAAAAAAATTATAAGAAAAATTACATCCCAATGAAAGAAAAGAAAATTACAAAAATATCCCTATATATAAAGCACAAATGTAAAACGGATGAAAATTATGACCTTGCTGAAATTACAAAATTGACTCTATTTGTTTTTATTTTGTTTGCACAGCTAAATAAGATAGGGGGAATTACATCCCAGAGGGAGAAAAAAAATTATATAAATATGGAGGGATACAAGTCACACTTGCACTCCTATAACTTTTCACTTGGACTCCATCTCAAAATCACTTACACTCTACATATTTTTGTAAGTTTTTTATTTGTCTGAAATTCTCCCAATAAGATAACCCTAGCTTTTGACATTAATACAAATTTGTATAATGAGTGTAGATTTGGTACTTTTCGTCTCTTACTGTGCCGATTGCCATTTTGGTATTCATAAATGATTTATAGCTCGAATTTTAGTCCTCTGAATGACATGAATGTGTTGGCACCCTCCCTCCCCATTTTGGACTCATGCTCATAGACGTTCTCTCTTTCATCTCTCTCTCAGCCCCAAACACTCTAGTCTCTGAAATCGTTTTCTCTCTCCTCTCCTTAAAACCCTCTCATTGCTACAAGCCGAGTATGTTGAGTACTCGCTGAAGGCTTGAAAGAGATTGAGGAATTTATCGAAAAAACAAGGAAGAGGACTCCACTAAGTTACTAAGCTGAGCAGCAAGTTCGCTGAGTCACATGTTGATGACGTAGTCGGTAAGGTTTTCAAAAACTAACTTATAAGTTGTTGAACTGGAGGAGTGGCTATGGTCGATTTGATAATAGTTGGATCGGATGGTTTGCATGGACCAGCCTAGAGACCTCTGAATCGCAGTGGAGGAGAGAGAAGATGAGAACAAAGCTTGATGAGTATACAACTATGGCCTCGTTTGTGAAGTGGTTACTTTTTAGGCTTTTTTGGTTATTTGACTATTTTAGTAGACTATTTTAATTTTTGTATTTGGAAAGATGGGTTAGATTTTTTGTTGAATTGTTGTATTAAAAAATGTGTTTGAAATGATATGGGAAAGGAAATGAAAAAATTGACCATATTGATTGAATGATTGGTATGATTTTCAAAAAAATTCAAGGGCAAAATTGCCTTTTCACATACCTGACAGCCTTGCCACACCCCACGTGACCTCGCAAACTGGCAGTGTACCTGTTGCAAATGGGTTTTGTCTGCACATGTTTTTTTGGTTTTTTTTTTTTTTTTTTTTTTTTTTTTTTTTTTTTTTTTTTTTTTTTTTTTTTTCAATTTGAGGCTATTTTAACCTCTAAACCCATTTGTCAAAGACCTCTTATATGTGAAGAGAGAGAATGGGTTCAAGAAACTTTCATGGTGAGAGTGAAAACAGAGACTGATCAAAATTGAATTTTGATTATCTCCATTTTGGGTGTATATGATTTGTGTGTGTGTGTGTGTGTGTCTATGTAACGGATTGAAGAAATTATGTTGGTGAAAGAACAATGGAAGGTGAAGAGAGCTTTGAAGGTTGGGATTAATGGTGGATTTTAGAGTAAACAAAAATCGTGGTCCTCTGTCTCTCTTTCTCTTCCCTTTTTTGCTTTGAAAACGCGTGAATTTCATGCATATTTAAGGCAACTGGGGCAAAAGCCAAAAAATGGAATGCTAAGACATTCAGGCCATTAAGGGCAGCGAGACTTCAAGCTACCTAGCGGAACTATTTGGTATTTTACAATCATAAAATACAAAAAATAAATAAATACAAATGTGATAAATTAAATAAATTAAAATTATTAGATCGATATATTTTTAGATTTATCGCGAAAATAAAAAATAAATGTGATAAATTAAAATTATTAGATTGACATATTTTGAAATTTATTGCGAAATATCTGTCTAAAATCTTAACCAAATTTTAAAATCTTCATTTGTTAATAATGTATGATGAGTACTCCTTTAATATAAATATAAATATATATAAATTGTGGACTTCAAAGATTATTGCAATAAACCAAAGTTGATTTAATGTTTTCATGCCTTAAAATCAAATTTTAGTAATAAAATAAATTAGGGACAATTGCAATAAAATGGTATAAATTTAAAATAATTGCAAAAAATGAAAGTACAAGATTTAGTTGCACAATCTAATGTATAAATTGCTTGTACTTCCACGATATTACAGTTATTTTGTATTGATGCCTTTTTTTTTTTGCAATTTTCTCAATAAATTAATTGGGATTTTGAGTTCTCTAACAAATGGATATTAATCTTGTTAGAAATTGGGCGCCCATGTGGCATGACCCTTAGAACCTTTTGAACTTGAACCTTTTGAACCTTATCCATGTAAGTTTGAATTTAAATTCAAAACTTATTTGGATAATCATTCAGGATATCTATATCTCTCATATCAATAGATATGGATAGATGGATAGATAGATATTGGTTATATATCAGATTATATGGTTAATCTAAAGATATACGTATATCAGATATACGTTATGTGGTTTTTTACCCATAACCATTTTTCCCATACTCTCTCTCTAACTCTCTCCCATAAAACAACGATCAAGTCATTTTGTACTGTGACTTATGTGGGTGATACTCATTTTGTAGTATCACTCCATTGCTGGGTTCGTTGTTCAGATTTTGGAAGCACGTGATTTACCCATGAGGTTCTTCGCTACAAGGTATGATTCCGAATTATTTTTCAAGATCACAATTCTAGATTCCAAACATAGACCTTATCAGCACCTCTTGCGATAAGTATATACAACGGAATCCACCATGTGCACCTCACATAAAGTGATTCCGTTGTATATACTTATCGCAAGAGGTGCTGATAAGGCTTATGTTTGGAATCTAGAATTGCGCAAGCTGTGGTCAAAATTTTTTTTAATCGATCACTTATTTTGAGATGATGGGATGTTGACACTGTTATGGTTTGTGTCATAATGATTAGCAGATGATGATGTCAGTAGGCAAGATTGGCTCACTCACATGAGCAATCGCCCTTGGCGCTTGGGAGCGAGCAAGGATGAGACTAGTGGTTTATTTTTATTTAGAGCCAAGAGAGGCTTAAATAATCCACTATATATGTCGCCTTGGTTACAACCAAGATGAGGTCGTGTTAAGGATCAAACATGGATATTAGTACCCACTTTCCATGTTGTGCCTGTTATGATTAGCCAGATGCGAGATCTCATTTGGCGCCTAGAAGGCGAGCAAATAGAGAATTTAGGTTAGGCGCTAGAAAGCGACTAGACTTATATCTGTACGGTGTATTGAGGATGACGTCACTCTTTTGGAAGAGTTACTCCACCGTAACATGTATCATACTATATGTGCTTGGCGACTAAGTAATGAGGTGAGAGAATGGATCCCTGTTTCCTCACCGTGTGAGTTTTACGAGTCATTATTGATATGACTTTCATTTATGTACCCTTTTGTGACTTTTG